AACGAGACATGTTCTGGTGATGTATGCAGCTTCGTAGGCTCTTCTTAAAATTACTCCTGACCAGTAGTGTGCAAAACAGGTCACAAATTCGCGATGATTTCACGAAAAAGTGAAAATTGGAGACTGCGGACAGACGTTGACAGAACAAGTCAACTTTTTAAAAAAGCTTGATCTTTGACGTGAAACAGATATGATACCTTCGAAAATGTGCACTTATTTCCATAAACATATCCAAAGCATTTTGGTTGATTCTGTTTCTGTTTTCTACAGCGTAGGTCCTCAATCCCGGTTTATGAACCTAGTGCTCATAACGACTGACTAGTGATTCCGCAATTCGGTCTCTTTTTCTTGATTATAAAAGGAATAAACAGAGCAGAATTTATTTCAAGAACTTTTAAGATTAATATAGTCAGAGTTATCTCTTCATGGGACTTTTACAGGATTTCGTTGTTTCATGTCACTTGGAATCGAAGATTGTCGAATTTCAGACCGCGCATTGTCTGCTTCAACCTTCTTTAGTAATTAGCATGCTGCAAAACTCTGCCGCTTAAACCTTGCACCTGCTTCCGGGAACGCGGCGGGCTGGTGTTCCAAGACGAACGACGTCAATCAATGGCTGTAGATTGATCTTGGCTCTCCCACAACCATTACTAAAGTTGCCACCCAAGGAAGCCAGGACAACTCTGAATGGGTAACAAGCTACTCATTATGTTACAACTTGGCAGGCTCCTACTGGGTCCAGTACAATGAAAGTGGTAAAAAGAAGGTAGAAAAAATACTTTTTGATTCCAAATAAGATACAAGTAATGAAAAATGATAAAAATTCCGAGAAGCGATATAGCTCTCCTCCAGATGGAAGCTGTAATTGCGATCAGAATAAAAGCCATATCTGTATTTTTTTCACTTCCAAGATGATAAATGCTCTCCAATGCTCTCCTTGATAAACGTGGTATTTATACTAAAAAAATGTGACGTCAAATCTTCGATAGTCAGCTTTCAGCGTTTCAATGCACGGCAATGTACTTTTGGCTTAATTTTTTTTGCAGGTGTTTCGCGGAAATTTTGATCGGGATACCATTATAGTCCATCAGATCCTCCCATCATTCCAGGCTCGCTTTGTCCGAATACAGCCTTTAACTTGGCATCACTACATCTGCATGCGTGCTGAGTTGTACGGCTGTCCTATCATGGTAAGAGGGAACATGCTTATACTATACAAATATGAGTATTTAGAATTACAAACAGAAAAAGGATTCTGTTCTTGAATTGAGGAAAACATCGTCATTCAAAGGGCATCGTGACTACGCATCCCTGACTTTTCTTGAAATATCTGTTGCGCATTTGATCATATGTAAATGAGATTTGCGCACTACAAATATTAAACTATTATTATTATATTATATTAAAAAGCGACACAAAACTAAGATTTCTATAACATCAGACTCGCAAGATATAACGATACATGTCACTTCAATTAAAACGTCGGTCAAATATCGTCGATAACTCGCGATCAACAGTCCGATTTATTTTCATTTCTTTTGCTAAGCTTTGCAGCATATTTACAAAATAATTAACCTTATCTAGGTTATTTGTGATGATTTTGTTTTCAACTGAGTTGATAAT